TATAGTCCATACATCGGAAAATTCAGCGCTCATGACGTCACCAACGACAATGGAAATAGAACAATAGGATTTGCAGCATCCAAGGGCATGGTCGTTGGAAGTACCTACTTCCCCCATAAGAATATCCATAAAGTAACATGGACGTCGCCTGATGGTACAACGAAAAATCAAATAGATCATATCCTAATAGAAACCAGGCACTTCTCTAATCTAATTGATGTACGTACTTATCGTGGAGCTAATATAGATTCAGACCACTTCTTAGTAGGTGCAAAAATAAGAGCAAGAATCTCAAATGCAAAAAAAGAAAAGGGTAAGAAAAGTACTCGCTACAATTTAAAACTCTTAAAAGAGCCCCGTGCACTAGAAAGGTATCAAAATTACCTTGAACATGAAAGCACAACAGATGAGAATTTAACAGCTAGTGAGCAATGGGATATATGTAGAAGAACAATTAAGGAAGCGTCAAACAACGTCCTAGGACCAGAAGAATCCACTCCACGCAACAGTTGGTTCGACGATGAATGTAAAGATATCACTAAAAGAAAAAATTATGCATATAAACTTATGCAACAAAGAAGAACACGGGATAAGGAGCAAATGTACAAAGATCTTAGGAAGGAGGAAAAACGCATACATCGAAGGAAAAAGCGGACCTTCGAAAACCAGATTATGCAAGAGCTTCAATCATTAAAGGGGCAAAATGAAACTAGAAAGTTCTATAATATCCTAAATAAGACAAGAAAAGAATTTAAACCACGGCTGACGATGTGCAGAGAGAAAAATGAACATATAGTCAGTACCGCTGACGCAGTACAAAGCAGATGGGTTGAGCACTTCAAAGAACTACTTGGTACCGAAGTGGAAAATGATGCGTCACCCCAAAGACCAAGAAATAACACTCACGTAGAACCTTCTTCAACATTTGAAGTGAAAGACGCAATCACACGACTCAAAAATAGCAAGTCCCCAGGAGTGGATTGTATCCCCGCAGAGCTCATCAAACATGGAGGTAACAGCATTATGCACCAAATTCACAACATAATAGTCAAAGTCTGGGAAGAAGAACAAATGCCAGAGGAATGGTGCACTGGAATCATATGTCCACTACACAAAAAGGGAGATTTGTTGGAGTGTAAAAATTATAGGGGTATAACTCTTCTGAATACAATGTACAAAATATTCTCCAATACCCTGTACAGCCGTTTAAGTACGTACGTGGAAAGAATCCTTGGTGAGTATCAAAGCGGTTTTAGGCCAGGTAGGTCAACAATCGACCAGATTTTTGTGCTACGTCAAATCTTAGAAAAAACCAATGAATTTAATATTGACACGTTCCATCTCTTTGTGGACTTTAAGTCAGCGTATGATAGCGTCCTAAGAGGTAAATTATACGAAGCCATGAATGAACTTAACATTCCCCATAAATTAATAAGGCTCGTAAAAACAACTATGAGTAAAGTGATCTGCAGAGTGCAAATACAAGGCGATATGTCACAAGCGTTTGAAACATATGCAGGGTTACGGCAGGGAGACGCGCTGGCGTGCCTTCTCTTTAATATAGCGTTAGAAAAGACTATAAGAGATGCCGAGTTACACAATAGGGGAACAATCTTTAATAAATCACCGCAGATTATGGCTTACGCTGACGATCTGGATTTGATTGCACGTACTACACGAGGACTTAAAGAGATGACTTCCGCCTTCTTGACAGCCGCACAAAATATGGGCCTTAAAATAAACGAGGAAAAAACCAAAATGTTAGCATCTATTCCAAATAACAGAGATAGAGCTAGAAACGCCGAACAAAACTTCAGTATAGACCAATATAATTTTGAGGTAGTAACTAAGTTTACATATTTGGGTTCTCTCATAACAAACGATAATGACACATCTGAAGAAGTTAAACGGAGGGTACTGCTAGCAAACAAATGTTATTTTGGACTAAGCAAGCAGCTAAAAAACAGAAATTTAAGCCAGAAAACCAAACTAATAATATATCGAACACTCATCCTACCAGTGCTGACATATGGGTCAGAAACATGGACCATCTCCAAAACAGACGCAAATCTTCTGCTCGTCTTCGAAAGGAAGATACTAAGAAGAATAATGGGCGCATTATGTGAGAATGGTATTTGGAGAAGGCGATATAATTTCGAATTGTACGAGAAGTATAAAAAAATAGTAAATGGTAGAGATGTAATATCCTTTATAAAAATAGGTAGGCTTAGATGGACTGGACATGTGTCAAGAGCAAATGAAAATTACCCACCCAGACGAACTCTATTATCGGTCCCAGTGGGAAATAGAAGTAGAGGCAGACCACGACTGAGATGGAGCGACGGTGTGGACGAGGACGCAAGGAAGATCGGCGCGGCAAATTGGCAACGGTTGGCGATGAACAGAAACGACTGGCGAAATAGACTGGGGAAGGTCAAGGCTCAACTAGAGCTGTAGCACCACTGATGATGATGATATAGGTACATACTTGGTTACATCCTGTATTATAATCTAACGAGTATGAAATTGTACAAAACAATCACGTTCAATACACAGAGTAACTTCACACTTTATACAAGTCAACGTACTCTTTGATGGCATAAGCGACATCGAAGTTGTTTGTCTATTTTCTTAGGAAAATGACCGCTTCCATCCATTTTTAGACTAATTGGTACAGATCCTGCTAGTCGTTTTTTAGAATAAGTAGATTTCCCAAAACTTCTTAAATAATGACGTACTACATCTCGTTGAAAATCCAAAAGATCCATTTCTTTATTTCCAGCAAATATTTGTAACCTCCACGAGTTAACAAGAGCTGAGTTGAGCATGTGGGTAAAAATGGGCCACCACCATTTTTTACCTTGTATACTGACTCGGTAGTTATTAACCGATTGGTCAAAGAGATCCACACCGCCCATTGAAGCATTGTATGATGAGAAAAGATTTGGTTGGGGTACATAAATTTTTTGTTTGGCAGCAGCACTCCAACGGTTCACTTTTGAAAGTGGTTCAATACTATCGTAGTTTGATGTCATTGTGACAACATTGTTGTCATTCCATTTTACAAAATGTAGTAGACTTGTCTTGTCAAAGCGATATTCGAAATATCCACGATTCTTCTTTTTAATTGCAGCGGAAGGAAACAAAGGACATTTTTTTATACGATTTTCTCTTGCTGTGCCTGTTAATCTAAAGCCCTTCTCTTTTAAAGTTTCCATCAAATTGTTACTAGTAAAATAATTGTCAAAAAATACTTCGTGATCAGTAGGCACATCAACGACATCAAGCATTTTTAGAACAACTTGTGATCCTAAAGGCAACGCCGCGACTTTTGGTTTATCCACTGATGCTCCATAATATGTGTCAAAATTGTAGCAATAACCAGTTGAACTACAAAGCATCCAGTCCTTGTACCCGAATCTTACTGGCTTTCCCCCTATGAACTGTTTTGATGAGTGATGCCCAAAATACTTTATCATCGCTTCATCAATAGATAAGTCTTTGTGGAATATGCCAAATTGTTGAAATTTTTAATTTAGTTTGTTCATGAGAGGCCTCACTTTATACATTTTGTCCCTTGTATCAATTTTCGAATTATCTGCCAAATTTAGGTATTTTTTAATTTCTTGGAAACGGTTCCTTGAAATTGCATTAGCCACGAAGGGAATATGAAGATCCTCATCTAAACACCAATAGTTGCGCTCTCGTGGCAATCTATAGTATCCAGTAAAAAGTAAAACAGCCAGAAATATCTGTATCTCTTCCTGCGTTACATGAAATTAATGGTTATTATTTTGAGCGGCATATAAATTTGTCTGCTGTGTAATATATTCAATAATTTCATTGTCGAAAAATTTCTCAAATATTTCTATAGGATATTTATCTCGGATTTGTTCTTTTATATTATCCAGACGACCCTCGTAACCTGTTGTAGATGTCATACTAATGTCAGTAATTTCTTCCGTCCAGTCAGATTCCTTTGTTTTATTTTGACTCTTCAGTAAATTTTCTCTTCTAACGGCAAGAGGAAGATAGTCTTCTTCGTCGTCATCAGAGTCATCACTCGTGTAATAAACCTCTATTTCTCCGGGAACGTCATTCGGAAGGCTTTGAGTCTGAAGATCATCTTCATCTATGTCGTCATTGTCAGTTTGATAGTCAATCTCAGGAGGAATGACTACCACTGATGCATCTTTATGAGTGGAACTCGCTATGTCATCTGAAGCTAAAGCAAAAGTTCTATAACGTTTTCCATAAAACCTAATTAGACTAATAGGCGGCAATTCTTGAAAATCCATTATAATACCAATACAATATAATAACTAACATTAGTAGTGAAAGTTTTAATTGGTTTTTGCTAAATATATTAGTGTTAAAACATTATTAATATTGATAAATATTTTGCTAAGGAAAATAAATGTAAAACGCATGAATTTTAATGAACAAACACCTCAGGAATGTCTATGATGATACAAATTTTACGACCGTTTTATGACTTTCAGGCACATTTCCTGCTTTCAACAATTTGTGAACGGATTATAGTTCTGTTTCGACATATGTTTCAGTTTTAAGTTTTTTAGGTTCTAGAGAATAAAGATTTTTAAAGAAATTTAATTTAAATACGAAAAAAAAAATTGTAATACAATAATTAATTACAAATAGGTATAATAAAATTTTGTAACAATAAAATTATTTTCAAAAACAAATTTTGATTTGATTTGATTACATTGTGCAGTAATTCTTTTCTATTTGCGGTGAATAATATTTGGAATCATCGTTAAACATTCTGCATTTAAAGTTTTTTAAATTTTACTTTTTGTATTTTACGGATTAATATCTAAATAAAATTACAAAATTATTTTTTATAAAAAAATCTAGATTTACTTGATCTAATCACGGTGTCCCTCGTATACATTTTTGGAATTTAATTATGTAAATTAATGACACCATTGGACTATCGAACAGGTTACACTATAACGATAACCAATTTTATTAACTATTTTTTATTTCGTTTATTAAGCGACGAGAAGTGTTGACCATGGCTGCTCTATCATATCTGTTGATTTACGGTAAGTAATTTTTTTTTAATATTGTTCCTTTAATATTGTTCGTTTAATATAGTTCCTTTATTATTTTGTTTCAATTTTAAGGATTAGATAAATATGAAATTTTAACTTTTAGTACCGTTTATTTAATTGTTTTTTTTTAATTTTGTTGTTGAAAAAAAAAAGAATGGAAATAAAGTAACAGCGTATTCTTCTTAATCTTCTAGTTTATCTTATATTATCTTTACTTCGCTTCAGATTTTTTTCCGTAACTCGTATTGTTTACTCGAACTGTAGATCTTAAGAGTAGAGTATAAGTAGAGTATTTATTTAACTACATAACATATACAAATATTGTTTGTAGCAAGTCAAAAAAAACATACATAGTATTAAATGATAAAACATTAAATAATACAAACATGAAAACATATTAAACAGAAAAATATTTATGGCAAAGTTACGGTAAGCAGTTCAGTGGATGTTCTGCAATGAGTCATATATTCTTCTGAGCAGTAAAAACAATGTTTTAAAAGATATTTTTTTATAACTTTATCGAAACTATTACAGCTTAGCTCTTTTATACTTTTTGGTAAAATATTGTAATAGTTATAATTAAGACTATTTTTTTCTGAAAGACTTAATCTACAGCGATTTGTTCGTAGGTAGTGACAGTTTCGCGTATGGTGAACATGGACATCAGACTGCTTTATTAAATGGGCACGTTTTCTGTGAATTTGAGTTAAAACTTGAAATATCAACAGAGTAGGTAGCGGCATAATTTTGAATTTGATAAAGAAAGGTCGGCAGTGTTCTAGATAACTAACCCCTGCTAAAATCCTGACAGCTTTCTTTTGTATTCTAAAAATTTGAAGTGCATTTGTTGAATTGCCCCATATAATTAAACCATAGTTTAGGTGAGAGTGGAATAAAGAAAAATATGTCATTTTTAATGTTTTAAAGTTGACAACCCTTGCTAGTTGGCGAATAACAAATAATGAACTGGATAGCTGTTTCTTAAGGTGTGAGATATGAGCAGATCAGTTGAGTCGATTATCTATGGTTATTCCCAATAGTTTAACAGTCTCTTTGTTAACTAGATCATTGTGTAAATTACTTGCAGATATAACCATATTTTGCGTTTTATCAGAATTAAGTTTTAGTTTGTTTGCAGCAAACCATGAGCTAGATTTAGTAGTAACTTCCTCATGAGACATTTTTAAATCATCATTATTTTTTCCTGATATAACGTATGTCGTATCATCTGCGAATTGTATGGTTTTGTACGGAGATATGAATTTAGGCAGATCGTTGACATAAATAATAAACAAAAGATGTCCTAAGACCGAACCTTGTGGGACTCCATGTTTTATGGATAGAAAATCAGAGAGATGACCTTTAGACACTACCGCCTGGTGTCTGCCACATAGATAAGAAGTTATAAGCTTAAGAGGGATACCTCTAATTCCATAGTAATTTAATTTGTGGAGCAAAATGTCATGTGAAACGCAGTCAAAAGCCTTTGATAAGTCACAAAGAGAAATTGCTATGCGATTGCCGCGTTCAAGCCCCTCAATCACCTCGCTCACTACATTAAATACCGCGTTCGTAGTAGAACGAGTACTTCTAAATCCATATTGTGAGTTGCTAAAGTAATTATTTGACTCAAAATAGGAATAAAATTGTTGTTTGATAACCTTTTCAATCGCTTTTCCAAAAGTAGAAACAATGCTTATGGGTCTGTAATTGTCAGTTTTTGAGGAATCACCTTTTTTGTAGATTGGTAGTACTTTTGAGTATTTTAGTACTTCTGGAAATACTCCGGTGGATAGAATTAAATTAATAAGATGAGTAAAAGGTGTTAAAACTATTTGGTAAGTTTCTTTTAAAATTTTACTATTAATCTCGTGAACGTCCCTACAATTAGAATTACTAAGCGACTTTATTATTTGAGAGACCTCTTCTTCCAGAACGGGCCGAAAAAAAGTGACTTACTCGGAGAAGGATAATTTCTATAATTGACGAGGACATCGACGTTAATAGTGGGAAGAGATGTAATTATATTCTCTGCAATTGTACTAAAAAAATGATTCATTTCGTCTGGAGGTAGATCAGGTTGTACCGAACTGGATTTAGTGTAGTTTCTTTCGAAATTTACTATTTTCCAGCAGTCTCTAGGTTTATTATTGGAATTAGTAATAAAATTACAGTAAGCTGACTTTTTAGCAATTTTTAATTGCCGATTATATTCAACTTTTTGTTGTTTATATACTTTGAACAAATCGGGATCCTTAGTGGCCTCTGCAATGTGTTTGATAAGAGAAATATTAGATCTGTTAGACCTTAATTCATTATTAAACCATTGCACTGGTGTTTTTTCAGTCATTTGTCGTACTTTTTTTAGTGGAAAATACTGTAATATTAAATTGTTATAAGTTTCGGTAAGAAAGACTGTCAAAGAATCAGGATCATTATTAATATCGTAGAAAAAGTCCATGTTTGTAATAGCTAGCGCACGTTTAAGCTTCTGTAAACCAGAAGAAGTAATAAACCGTTGAAATATTTGATTAGTGTCAATAACTTTATGCTCTGAGTCGATAAATAAAAATTGAGCTCGATGGTCAGAAAAACAAGGTTCAAATGAGCCCACTCTATATATATTTTCAGAAAGATTTGTCATAATGTTGTCAACGCAACTTCTAGACTGGGATGTGATTCTAGTATAATCGTTTATAGTTATTTTTAGATCAAAAGATGTTAATAGATTTTGAATATCAAAAAAATGGTCAGATTCAATTTTAAAATTTATATTAAAATCTCCAAGTATGATTAGTTTGTCAGCTTTACTAAGCAAGGATGTTATGACATTTTCAAAATTCACCAAAAATAAGTCAAAGTCACCCTCACCCGATCTGTATACAGTTAAAATATTGGTTTTTATTAAAGGTATATAAATTGCACAAAACTCAGAACTTTGCTCTACATTATATTCATTTAAATTAAGAGAAGAATACAACATTAAGTATTTATGATATGATTTTATTTTACTTTGTTTTATTAATTAATGGGAATATTAAATATGTCAAGTTTAAAATGTCATTTTAATTGAATCAAAAACATTTTGAACCTAGGAAAGACCAGGAATATTTATTTTGATTAAAATATTGTCATTCCTTATAGAAAATAAGTGTTCTCTTCTTCTTAAGGTGTCTTCTCCTTTACTAAAGGTTCGCCATAACTACAGCAAATTGCTCTCTATCTTGAACTCTTCTTAGTATTGAATGTGTATCTATACCTGTCCAGTCTCTTACATTATTCAACCAGGAGCATTTTTTCCTTCCTGGACCTCTTTTTCCTTCCTTTTTCCCTTCCATTATAAGTCGTAGGACGTTGTATTTTTCTCCTCTGTAAACATGTCCTAGATAACTCGTTTTTATATTTTTTACAATATTTAGGAGTTCTCTATGAATACCCATTCTTCTTAGCACTTCGTTGTTGGTCACGTGCTCTGTCCAAGAGATCTTCAGCATCCTTCGAAAAACCCACATGTCAAAGGCTTTTATACGCCTCATACTTGTAATTCAGAGAGTCAATGTTTTTACTCCATATAGCAGTATGAAAAAAATAAACGTTTTTACAAATTGGTATCAGGTATCCAACGATAACGTAGAGTTTATTATAGTAGGACAATTTTCAATTAAAGGTGACTATTGCACGGCAACCATGAAAAATTTCATTAGTAAATTCTTACCGGGGTCATTTTTATTGTGTATACTTCGCCCATGTAAATATGAAAATTTGTAACCCATCTAAGATAAATTTGCCCCCGTAACAGTATAAATTGGTGCGATTCACGAGTGTATAGTGAGACAAGTTCAAAGAATAGTTTGGAACATCGGTAAAATTATCAATATTTTGCTGGTCTATATATATTTACGTTTTTAGAAAGAATGTTAATTAGAGAAATATGATATCTTAGTTTATTGAAGTTTATGAAATATGATATCTTCCATATTTTACACATATGTACATAGGCGTAGTCTATTAATGGGAATATATTTATTAAATATACTTTATTATTAACTTTAAAATAGTTTTTAGGTAAGTAAAGTAAATTTGAGGCCAGTTTATTCTTTATATAGTATTAAACCCTTTGACAATTTGACAATTAATTTATTAGATTGGATTAAAAACACAAATTAGGAATAAATTACAACCAAAAAGATTTTTTTCTCATTTTTAAGGAAAACTGTACAATTTTTAATAAAGAAACATATTGTATCTTAAACGTAAATTAAATTTTAAGGTAAAATTTTTTTGAAATATGGGGTGTAGATGCATTCTACACTTTTTACATAAAAAAATAGTATTACTTTTGTACATCCTACATTTTTGCATTATCGTCTCTTTTTATAATGTGGCCAATATTGTCGAATCTGGTTTCATCTGGTAAAGCAAATTTAGATTGACGCCCATGTACTGACACTGATGTAGCGGTTTCTTTACTTTATAAATTAAAATTATAAATCTATGTCGGCTCATGGTTTCTCTTATAATATGCACTTCTTTATCCTCATCCTTTGACCAATGCATATCAACTTGAAGCAGAGTGTAAACCAAATAATATACATATGCTAATAATTTTTTTAAATCTATGTTATTCATTTCAAAATTGTGACGGTTATTCTCAATTACTTTTTTATCAAAAAGAGTGAAAAAACTTCAATATATGACTTGCCAATATGGTTGGCTTTTATATTGTCTAAATATCAATCAGACTGATGTTAAATTACTACTGAGCACGAAAGAATATCCGTTATTACAACTTGAGATAAATTTGGATTTACTATTTTTGCCTGGTTTTTCCCTTGGACGTTTTATCTGTGGTTCAGAGGAATATCATAATCAGAATCGTTAGAATTTCCAATCACTTGTATTTCATATGTACCTGCAATATCCGATTTTATTGATTCTTTACAAATCACAATATTATCAATCTCTTCAAGGAATACATTAATATACCAGCA